CTGCGAACAAGATCTTTCTGCTTGGACACCAACACATTTGAGAAAGCATATAGCAAAATACAGAAAGATTCCAAACTTGAAGGCCTAAATATTTGACATCTAAACTGGAATTAAGAGATAAGAGTTTCTATCAAGCTCACCTATCATAGTACTTAGACGACTACATCAGACTTAACAAAAATTAGTCAAAAACATGAAACCGATATGAGTTCTTGCGATGGACCATCTAAGCTTATCTATCCTGCCTTGTCACTAGAATAACATACTACATGCTGTTGGCACCTATAGGCAAAGGTTAACTAACAGATCGGCACTATGAAGTTATTCATGTCGGGAGGAAAATATATCAGGAGCAAATAAAACCACAAATACTTATACAGGAAGGGAGGGAGAATATCTCGCGAAATAGCAATCTGTTTGCAATTTATTAACAATAATCAGTACACACATACACATATATATATTTTGTTATAATCAACCCAATTGTGCTCACAGGTCCGGAACTTGGAGAGTACAGGGGCATAAAACCGAAAGAATCGACCTAACCAAGATTTTCGGTTTTTGGTCAGTTTTGGTTTTTCAGTCGGTTCAGGATTAATCTTTCCATAACTTCGGTTCGGTGGCCGGTTTCAAGCTTTAGATTTTTAAAAGTTCACGAGTTTTTGAGAACTTTTCAGCCTTCGAAATATCAAATTGTATTCAGCCTTCCATCGATCCTCTAAGTTTTCTCTTCCTGAGGTTACAATATTTCCTGATCAGCCACAATTTCTTCTTCCATTAACAAGTAAACCTTGATTCTCTCAAGCTTTAGAAGTTGAAGCTTGCACTTCTAATCTTCCTCCGTATCACTAGTTGCCGCCAAGAAGTTCAAAATCTTCAGACTTCAGCCCACGAAATTTTAAATCGCCTTTGCTGCTGACTGTTCTGTCGCTCCTCCAGTCCAGGTAAGATACTTATGGTTTGGCATCCGAGTAAGCGACTCTGCTCGAATTATGTTCTGAAGCAGCTCAGCCTTCGAAATCTGTACTCTCTCCTCTCGACCTATAGATTTCAAAGTCACTGCTTTCTTATCATTTTTCTATTCATTTTGTTCTATGTTGTTTTGTTGATTGTATTTGTTTATTGATTTTATCTTGAGAATGTATGGAATTTTGTTTATTAATTTGTGAGGTGGTGTTTTAAGTGTTATTATGATCCTTCTTCCTTAAATCAATTTGCCAACCAGCTTATGCCCTTGAAATAAAACCGTCATAAACCAAAGCAGGCCTAAAATAGTCATCCACTACCTAGCGACTAGTATCAAAGTGGACTTACTAAAACCAAAAAAAAAAAAGTTCCTAACTGATAAGGCCCAAACCGTAAAACGGAACCGATATAAACCAAACCAAACTCTACAGACCGAACCGAGCCGAATTAATTTCAGTTCCATTTCAGTTTTCCACTTCTAAAAACCGAAGTGATCGAACGCCCACCCCTATCAGAGAGTATCCCTCCCTCCCACTTAAATACCACGGTTTAATCAATGATAAGGTTCGAGCTCGTGACGCGTGCCTAACCCACACTTCACACATTCCGTCCTACCGAATAAACCAAATCCCTAGGTGCATAGCACAAATCATGTGTATAAAGATACCTGATCCTTCGTTCTGTCTTTGCTCACGAAATGCCAACTTTCTCCACTTCTTGCTAGGTAATGGTCTTTTCTTCTTTCTGGTACCATCCCCATTCTTCTCTGGTGTAGTCTCTAATGATTGAGGGATTTTAAGGGGTTTCCTTAGTCTTTGGAAAGGGTGGGTTGGTGCCTCAAGTTTTGGTAATGAAGCAGAATCAAGCAACTTGGTGGTTGGACGAGCTTGAGCTGCCTGTGAAATTGACTGGACAGCCTTGGCTATACTGGTGGAAGCCAGGTCATTGTCATTACTGGTTATATCAGCTGCAGTACCAAAAGACTCCGAATCTTGAACCCGACGTTCAAAGCCTTTGAGCTGGTGGAAGGGGGTTAACATTCCTTTCCTTACCAGTGCATCTCTTTCCTACGACAGAGAAAATATGTGGTTAGCTTGAGAGCTCCATATGTTAAGGTACGACAATAGATGCTTACGTTGTACAAAGTATTACTTATTATTGTACAAACACAAATGCAAACATGTAGCTTCCACCTTACAAAATCTTTTCAATTTACAGTTCGTAAAAACCACATACTGTTTCAACAAATCCAGAAGATGCTGCAGTTAACACTGCATCAAAATCATCGTCATCATCCAGCAATGTCGTCTTCCGCCGTTTGCTCTTCTTGTTGCTTGATTTCTGAACTTCCTTCACCTTTCTTTTGAATTCAGGTTGATCCTTAACAAGATCTCGTATCAATGCATCAGATGAAGTATCATCAGTAAAATCCGAAAGTTCTTTCTTAAGTTGAGCCTTTGTCTTGAGGAGACTTCTTAGACGATCATCAGCTAAAGCATGTTGAAGGTTTGAATCATCCAGAGGTGCCTGAATAACGCTTTGCTCACTCTCTGTCTGCTTTGCCTCGCTGCTACCATCAGTATCTGGGACTTCCTCCTCATGTCTTCTGAAGCGCTCCAAGTGTCCAAAACCACTCTTAATTGCATCTATTTCTACTTCTACTGCTCTCAGTTTATTATACAAATCTAATTTCTTATCCTGTCCTTCTTCATTGCCTTTCTTTCTTTCCACTCTCTCTTCTTCAGCACTCCCGGTAGCTTCATTGCTCTCCCCAGGGTGCCTTGTTGCCTGCCAATATATGAAAAAGGTCCATCTCCATTAAGTTACTAGATTGCATAGCATTAGCATATTACGAAACTAAGCAAAACTCCTACTGCCAAATGATTTACAGAGAAACAGCATTACCAACTCTGCAGAACAAACCTTTTCCAAGATGTCATGTTCAATATCTTCAGGATTTGCAGACGTCACACCCAAACTGCTGAGTAAAATCTTATCTTCCTCCTCTTCTTCCATTTCTCCGTTGTCTGTCTACAAATGAAAAGGACAAAAAAAAATCATCTTTCAGCAATACAATTCTCATTCCTGATATTCAAGAGTTTAGTGCATTGTGCATACCATTGCTCCCTTATTTGTTAGTTATACAAATGTTATGACATGCTTAAGACCACAAAGTTTCAAAATAATGTTATACCATATTTAAGACCACAAGTCTCAAAGGCAGTCCTTTGCTTATTAACCTCTGTGCCAAGTCACATTACCTCACATAAATTGAAACAAAGAGGGTAGTATTTTTCCTTTTCTCCATTTGAAAACAAAATAAGATACATATGAAGGTACCAGAAGAATGCATTGTGAATAAAGTATATTTGACCTCGTTATTAGCTAATTGCTGGTGAAAGTCCACTTACCAAATTAACTAGGAGCAGTCACACCGCGAAACTCTCTTTACAAAGTCCTGAGCTCGTTTGATTGATAAACATTATCCACTTTTGTGTGACCAAAGGATAGCCGGTAACACTGTTTGTTTTAACACCATTAATCAAATAATAATACGAAAAATTCAGCTAAGCTACTCTGAAAATTGAAATCATAGGGCCTGAATAGTCAAAATACTTCAAGACTTTGCTCCAATGACTCTGTGCTAGAAAAACCGATTGGAGTCTCGCAATTCACGATCGAGAGATTTCTCCTTTCGGTTTTGAAAAATCGATAAAAGCGACACAAAACAAAACCCTAACTTGGGGACTGGAGAAATGAAAATCGTTGGCTTCGGCCTTCTTTTTTTCTCGTCAAAATCGTTGGCTTTTCAATCCGCGGCGCGCTTTTATGTCAGCGCGTGATGCTTCGATAGGCGACCGCCATTTCGGTTCTTGGATTCGGGGGGATCCATTTTAATTGTCTGCCAAACGGGTCCTCGTTCTCCAAGTTACGTGGCTGCTTGTAAGCCTTCACCTTGGCCAATGGCGTTATTTAATTTCCGGGTTCTATATGGGCAATACCCTACTTTTTTAGCATTCAAAAATGAAAAATTCAACAGCTGTTTATACAATATTCGATTGAATTTTTTTTTTTTTTTAAATTTGAAGTTAAAATTAACAAAAAGAGTATTAAAAATTTTATTACTGAAAATTGTTATATTACTTAAAATAATATTCGGACTATTTATAATTTTATCTATATTAATAACAAATGCTTATGGCTAACCTATTATTTGTAATACCAAATTTTGCTACTAATAGTTATCAATGCTGAATTGTTATTTAAACCATATAGCCTAAATTAGTTTTTTTTTTTAAATTGTCTTTCATCTGAAATTTTTTTGATTTTTAAGATTTAATCATGAAAACTAGTAAAGTAGTTAATCCGATAATTCAGAAGAACAATTTATGGCATTTTTGTTATTACAATGTATGATATTTAAGCATAAAAAAAGTAGATCGAAGTTAATTCGGAGCTCCAAAAGTGTACTAATCGGATCCGAGTGGAATTGCACTATACCGACCCGGTCTTTGTGGTGGGAATACAAACAGCAAGGTAACCTCCAATTGAACAGTTACCAGAGTAGCAGTTAGGTGAGCGGAGCAAGACGAAAAAACGGGTATAAAAGCGACCCGTGAAATGGTTATAGTGCCACATTGAAAAGAACAGCAGAGAAAGAAGATGGAGGGAAGATCAAACAGTATTCTCGTCAATGGAATGCAATTCTCTTACGATTTCCAAAGTCCTATCTTTTTCGATTTCAGCCTAAAGATTTCTCCCGGATCTCGATGTCTCCTTGTCGGTGCAAATGGATCCGGTATGTGTTACCACCACTTACTATAATATGTATATATAATTGAAAAATATTGAGAAATGTATATTCATACAACTCCTAAATATTTAGATCAAGTTGTGAGCCTCAATTTTTTTTTAAATTGGAACAGGAAAGACGACACTGTTGAGGATATTGGCGGGAAAGCATATGGTGGGAGGAAGAGATGTAGTGAAGGTGCTGAATTTTTCAGCATTTCATGACACCCACCTCGTCTGTGATGGTGATTTGGCATACCTAGGAGAGTCCTGGAGCAAAAATGCTGGCTCTGCTGTAAGTACTGAATAATGGTTTTGGTTTTCATGTCTGCCTTTTTGTAGTTCTGTTCAGAATTTTCAGTGTGATCATGGGCGAATGTAGTATTTGGGCATCTGCTAACGGTTTGAACCGTATTTATAGTTGAACAAGTTTTTCGAATAAATGTAAATTTATAGTACTTAGTTATCACCCACTGCTGCTAAATAGCATTTCATGCAGTAATGTGCACCTACTAACTAAAATTGTGGATCAGCCTGAACTAAGAATGCACTTAAAAATTATTCAGAAATGATTGTAGATAGAGGTTTCTATGCTTTTCCATCATTATTTACGCTTTCCCTTTTGTTTCTTTTTTAACTTTTTACTAGCATAAGATCTCAAACTTTGTTAAATAGAATGCTATTCTGAATGGCTTTATTTTTGCCAAAACTCAGGGAGAGATTCCACTTCAGGGAGATTTTTCAGCAGAACATATGATATTTGGAGGTGCGTAAGCTCTTTATTTTGCAAGTCTCTTTATTTTTCGCTCTGATTTCTGTTGCAGCTTGCCCATTCTACTGACCTAGGAGTATATAACTAATATGAATGTTATATAGAGGTGCTAATTTGTTGACTCCATTTGGATTTTGGACTTTTTGAGATTCACTAATCATGACTAGGGGTGTTCATAAAAACCCGAAAAATCGAACCAAACCGAAAACCGACCAAAAAATCCCATACTTTTTAGGATTGGTTTGGTTTTGGTTTTGAATTTTAAAAACCGATCAAATTTGGTTTGGTTTTGGTTTTAATAAAAAAATAACTGAAAAAAACCGAACCAAACAGATTATAAAAGTAGCTATTTAAATTTATTATTACACCTATATATATGTATATTTTTATATAAAGTTTCTAAAATTTTACGGTACATATTAGTCATTTATATTTTTAGTCTAGTTCTTTGCTATTTAATAATCTAATTCTTTGCCTTTACATTCTAGTTTGATTAGTAGTTTTTTTTTTTGCTAAGTACAAGAATTTATTTCATGTTAAAAATAATCGATTTTTAATTGAGTACTTAAATCATTCATCACTATTTGATTCAATTATCATCAATATATCTTGCTAAACAATGGATCTCTCTAAGAGAAATTGATTTGATAGTGTTATGTTGAAAATATAGTCGCCGGAATATGTGTTTGGTAGTGTATGTCTCATATTTAAGAAAAGTACCGATAAATAACCGAAAAAACCGACAAAAACCGAATCGATAAAAAACCGACTTCATTAGTTTGGTTTGGTTCCAATATTTGAAAAATCGATTTACTTGATTTGGTTTCTTCTTAGGGAAAAATCGACCCAAACCGAACCATGAACACCCCTAATCATGACTATTCTCTGTATGACTTATGCAATAATGTTGACTTCTTGAGTTTGAATAAAATTTCAACTTCTTTTGTTTTCGTGTCATGGTTTAGTCGAAGGAGTCGATCCAGTTCGGCGAGAGAAGTTGATTGAGCTGCTGGATATTAATCTGCAATGGCGTATGCACAAGGTATCTGATGGTCAGAGACGCAGAGTTCAAATCTGCATGGGTCTCCTTCACCCCTATAAGGTAATCTTTGTTGCATTAGGTTCACGACAACAACATCAACAATAACAACATACCCAGTATTATCCCACACCGTGGGGTCTAGGGAGGGTACTGTGTACGCAGACCTTACCCCTACCTTGTGAGGATAGAGAGGTTGTTTCCAATAGACCCTCGGCTCAGGAAAGCAAAGATTGATTGTATTAGAGTTAAATGTAAAATGCATGTATCCACCAATCCCATAGTAGACAGGTCATATTTACAGTATGCTCACCATATTAATTCTTCTCAAATAGCTCCGGTGCTCATTCTTATTGCCCACGTCCAAGTTTTGTTTACTTAATAATCAAACAATATGCTTCCTGTGAGATGGTTTTCATACTTTGATAATTGTCAGCAGGGTCATGTTAACTTCTTTGATGACTGTTGCTAATGGAGAATCACTTTCATCCAGGTTCTTTTGCTGGATGAGGTTACAGTTGACTTAGATGTTGTAGCAAGGATGGATTTGTTGGACTTCTTTAAGGAAGAATGCGAACAGGTATGATTGTTTTAACGTGGAGAAAACTCAACTAGGTTTAGAACTACACTGTTGGTTATTGAACGGATGTTTAATCCTCCCATCGCATCCTCCTTTTATACTTTTTTTTTTTTTAGGTGGGGGGGGGGGGTGGGGGGGGGGTCCTTAATGTCTAAGCATCGAAACTGCATATGGAGTCATCGATGACATCATACATTTTCCCTGAATCAAAACCCTATAGGAAAATTTAAATCACCTTTACGTATTCTTCAATTAAATTACAGACCTGTGGTGCCTTCCACATTGTGGTGCATGGGATTAATATAGCAAACCAATTAAGATATTGATTCATCATAGACAGGCGAGAACATTAATTTTCTGGCTCCATGTCATGATAACAGAGAGGAGCTACTATTGTCTATGCAACACATATATTTGATGGACTGGAGTCCTGGGCAACAGATCTTGTTTACATCCAAGATGGAGTTCTGAAGAGGTCTGAGAAATTACCCGAGCTTCCCGAGTTGAAGTCTTCCCCCAATTTGCTTTCAGTAGTTGAGAACTGGTTGAGGTCTGAGACCACGATTGAGAAAAAGAAGCCGGTTATCGCCCCACCAAAAGTTCAGAAATCCTCTCCTTTTGGCTCTTCTCCGTTTCAGTCATCTAGACATATGGCATATTTCCGCTGATTTATGCGTTCTGTATTCAGAGTGGAATAAAACCTTGTAGGATTTATGCGTTCTGTTTTTGCTGATTTATGCATTCTTCAGTATGAGCAGCTGGGGTAATGCTGTCGCTATCACGGGCTACACCCTTGGCTGAATTCAAAAGTAGGAATTATGGCAACTCGGGTTAAAGTTACATGTTGAAGCCCTGAGGATGTGCCTTTAGTGCAAGTATTATAGTATTCCATTCCTATATGTATACTAGTCACAAGCAATTTCATGTAACACCAAGCTGCCAAAATATTTTTTCTTCCTTCACATTTGACTCTGCAAATTCATCAATTCATTTTGCACCTAGTAGGTAAGCAGTCATTGTTGAGATGATAATATTAGTCATTGTTGAGATGGTAATTTCAACGAGTACTTAATGGACAATCAGAATCCTCTGATCACGTTTCAGAATTAATCAATCTTTTCAAATCAAAGATGAACAGGTGAATAATTACTTGTATCAATGTTTTCGCGGATTTGTTGTGTGTAACTATCAATGTGGTGCTTACGCTTTCCTGAACCGAGGGTCTATTGGAAACAGCCTCTTTATCCTCACAGGTAGGAGCAAGGTCTGCGCACACACTACCCTTCCCAGACCTCACGGTGTCGGATAATACTGGGAATGTTGTTGTTGTAATTGTCAAGAGTGGGCACAAAGAACTGAATAAAAGACAAATAAATGGTCTATATCACATGGTTGACTCTAGAGGATATGGTGAAGCATATCATGTCTGAATATCAAGTTGCCAATATTCTTGCTTCAAGCATACTTTCGCAGTTTTGTTTCAATTTCAACTCAAATTTTCACCATAAGCATGACATAATAAACCAACTACAGGGTACTAAAAGTTGGAACTTTAGAGCCAAGATTGCCAATGTAGAGAAAAATTAGGTGGTGAATGCGATTGATTGCTGGCTGATACCAAAATAGCCTGGGCGTACACAGAAAGCAGGCCCTCTCTCCTTTGTCATTGTCTAATCAATTGTTGCACAGTCGTGTTTCTTCCGCTGTATAGCTTCATGGCCCCGGGGACCCCAAACAAATATCTCCAATGCCTTTGCTTACAATTGTTGTTTTTTTCAAATAGCCGTAGTGTTTGCCCTCAACTAATTTATTGAGTATTTGTTATTTTTCATTTTAAAAAAATCGAGTAATTCTACTATTTGCTGATGATTTGTGGTTTTATGTTCACTTTTCTTTCCTGAAAAAAGGAGAGAACTGCATAACAAAAAGACTATAAAAAGAAAATGTATGTACCATGTGACTGCGGACAAAATCAAAGTTCATATTTGAATGAAACATCGAACTGTTGGAGTTGAATTTTTTTGTGTGTGTCCATTTCCTTGTGTGTCGTCGTTGTCGTGTACCTACTGACAAAGATTGGCTTCTATGCCTTCTATTCTAGTTTAGATTCTCATTGTCTTCTTACATTTCAAAAGAGTTACTTCAAGCTCATAAACTGTTGGGACTTACCTTTTTGTTTTCTTTTTCTTTTCTAGTTTAGATTATAGATTTGTCACGACCCCAAACCCCGGTCGTGATGGCGCCCAACACATTGCTAGGCAAGCCCGACCATTTACACAACCTTAGCCAAATAACCTATATAAATAAATAAATGTTCACTACTATAATACCAATTTAGTACGGAAATTCTGATATAATCTCTAACATTCGAAAACCCCAAAATAAAATACTAGATAGCCCACCGAATCTGGTGTCACGAACATGAGCCTCTAAAACAGATCATCCACCTATTACAATTCCGACTAGGAAAATTACAAATAAAATAATAAAGATAGATGGGAGAGATCAGAGTTGCGAACGCCATGCAGCTACCTTGATACTCCCGGATAATGCTGCTCAGCTAACACGAGTCCTCACTCACCCTGTGGTGTACCTGAATCTGCACACAAGGTGCAGGGAGTATTGTGAGTACTTCCAACTCAGAAAGTAATAAATATAAATAAAGTCTGAGGATCAGAAATCCTAAATAAACACAAAGTAAAGCTACCATACAACAACGTGGACCGATATACAACAACGTGGACCAATAGCATAATACGGTAAACATTAAAACAGTTATAATAAAGTCACACCAGAATAAGAATAAATGACAATTAAATATACAATGCAACATATAAACCGATACCTCCAGTACCCCGCTGCGGCCGTGCAGCCCGCTCCATTTATTTAACGTCGACGGCGCTCACTGGGGGTGTGCAGACTCCGGGAGGGGCCCCTTACGGCCCAAGCGCAATAATAAGCCATCTCGTGGCATCAAGCAGGCCCTTGGTCTCATATCAATATCATTCTAATACTGCTGCGGCGTGCAGCCCGATCCCATACTCAGTCCAAAAATCACACAATAGTATAAAAATATTCAGCCCAAAACTTCATTTAAAAATATTAACTTAATTTCTAATTTTAAGAAAATGGCTGAGTTTTCAAATACAGTATCGAATGCCCGGACTGAGTTTAATATTTACAAATATGGTAAGAAACTATTTAAAAACAATCTCTGAAGGATTCAAGTAGTTGGCACGAAGCCCAATTATGACAGTTAATCCATTTTTATAAGGATATTACAAATCTATAATCAAATAGGTATCAATTTTATTAAGCGGGACGGACCAAGTCACAATCCCTGACGGTGCTCTACCCCACGCCCGTTATCCGGCGTGCAAATCACCTCACATAGCACTACGTTGTGCAAATTCGGGGTTTCAAACCCTCAACACAGCATTTACATTTATTACTAACCTCAAGCCGGCCAAAGTCCTAGCTTGCTATGCCCTTGCCTTTCGAATTCACCTCTTCGCGCGTCGAATCTGACCAAAACCACAACGAGTACGTCACCATATGCTAAGGGAATATAACCCAATCGAACAGACTCGAAAAACATCGAAAATCACGAAGTTGGCAAAACCCGAGCCCCGGGCCCACTTCTCGAAAAATTATAAATTTTTCATCACCCGATTCCTTATCTCGCCGCGAGTCTATACATATAAAGAACACCAAAATCGGAGTCCAAATGACCCCTCAAATCCCCATTTTTGTTCTCTTAGGTTTCAAGCCCTAAACCACCATTTTTGACCTTAAATTCTTGAGTTTTCAGTCTAATTTCATGTGTTTGCACCATAAAATCGTGTTTTAGGTTTAGAAATTCTTACCTCAATGAAGTCCCTTGATTCCTCTCCTCCAACTCGCCCAAATTCTCCAAGTCCGAAGTGAAAATATGAAACCCTTTCAAAAATTCGCGAAGGGAAATAAAACTATTCTGACCAGTTATTTCCGCATCTGCGGCTCCATGGCCGCATCTGCGGCTCCCGCTTTTGCAGTCAATGCACCGCTTCTGCGGACATATCCGCTTCTGCGGTTTAATATCCGTTCCTGCGCCTCCCGCTTCTACGGACAAATTAACGCATCTGCGGATCCCCATAAGAGCTTAAATACCGCATCTGCGGTCCTCCTGTCGCATCTGCGACTCCGCAGATGCAGTCACCAATTCCGCACTTGTGGTCCCTGCCGCTTCTGCGTCTCTCCTCTCGCTTCTGCGGTCCCAATTCCGTAGAAGCGAAAATACCAGAAGCAGCACAGGTTCTGCAATCTCTTAATTTCAAAACTTCCCGTTAGCCATCCGAAATCACCCCGAGGCCCCCGGAACCTCAACCAAAAATACAAGCATGATCCAATACCTTATTCAAACTTGCTCCAATCATTAAAACACCTCAAACAACACTAAAACCATCATTTCTCATCGAATTTAAGCCTAAGTTCTTCTAAAACTTCCGAAACACGCATTCGATCAGAAACCCAACCAAAACATCTCCGAATGACCTGAAATTTTGCACACATATCCAAAATCACCTAACGAAGCTACTACAACTCTCGGAATCTCATTCCGACCCCCGGATCAAAATCTCACCTACCAATCGGAATTCGCCAAAATACTAACTTCGCCAATTCAAGCCTAATTCTACACCGAACCTCCAAAATCAATTCCGATCGCACTCCTAAGTCACAAATCATCCCCCGAAGCTAACCAAATCATTGGAATTCAAATCCGAGCCCTCTAACACAAAAGTCAACATCCGGTTAACTTTTCCAACTTAAGCCTTCTTAAAAGAGACTAAGTGTCTCATTTCTTATCAAAACCATTCCAAACCAACTCTAACACATCAAATACTGATAATGAAACTTAAAGAAGCATAACATGGGGAAAACGGGGCGGTAACTCACGTGACGACGGGTCGGGTCGTCACATCCTCCCCAACTTAAACAAACGCTCGTCCTTGAGCGGGTCAAGAAACATACCTGAAGTCTCGAATAGGTGAGGATATCTGCTCCGCATCTCCTGCTCGGTCTCCCAGGTAGCCTCCTCCACGGGGCGACCTCTCAACTGCACTTTCACTGATGCCACATCCTTTAATCTCAACTTCCGAACCTGACGATCCAAAATGGTTGCTGGCTCTACCTCGTACGTCAAGTCACCCTCTAGCTGAACTGTGCTGAAATCTAAAACATGGGACGGGTCCCCAACGTACTTCCGGAGCATAGACACGTGAAAAACTGGATGCACGCTCGACAAGCTAGGTGGCAAGGCAAGCTCATAAGCCACTTCCCCGATCCTCCTGAGTACCTCAAAAGGTCCAATAAACCGCGGGCTCAGCTTCCCTTTCTTCCCAAATCTCATAACACCCTTTGTGGGTGAAACCTTCAGCAAGACCTTCTCACCAATCATAAAAGATACATCTCGAACCTTCCTGTCTGCATAGCTCTTCTGCCTCGACTGTGCTGTACGGAGTCTCTCCTGAATCACCTTCATCTTCTCCAATGCATCCTGAACCAAATCTGTCCCCAACAACCTAGCCTTCCCGGGCTGGAACCAACCAACTGGCGATCTACACCGCCTCCCATACAAGGCCTCATACGGTGCCATCTGAATGCTGGACTGATAGCTATTATTGTATGGAAACTCCGCAAGCGGTAGAAATCGATCCCATGATCCTCCAAAATCAATAACACAGGCACGTAACATATCCTCCAATATCTCAATGGTGCGCTCGGACTGCCCGTACGTCTGAGGGTGAAAAGCTGTGGTCAACTGCACCTGAGTACCCAACTCTCGCTGAACAGCCTGCCAAAACTGAGAGGTGAACTGAGTGCCCCGATCTGATATGATGGACACCATGCAATCGAACTATCTCCCGAATATAGATCTCCGCCAGCCGCTCTGAAGAATAGGTAGTACAAACTGGAATGAAGTGCGCAGACTTGGTTAGTCTGTCTA